TTCAAAGAATTTATTCACAATTCACTCCCTTGTCTGTGTAATTCCATGTGTGTGCGTGTGTGTGTGTATTTTTTGGTACTGGAGATTGAACCCAGGGGCACTCAACCACTGAGCCACATCCCCAGCCCTTTTTTTTGTATTTTATTTAGAGACAGGGTGTCACTGAGTTGCTCAGGGGCTCACTAAGCTGCTGAGGCTGGCTTTGAACTCGCAATCCTCCTGCCTCAGCTTCCCCCATACACTGGGATTATGGGTGTGTGTCACTGTGTGCCCCGTTCCAACCTAATATTGAATCCCAATCTCCAATAGGTTTCTCTGCACCTACTCAAGAGATGTCTTCTTGGCAGCTTGAGAGGCATCATAAATATCTGTGCCAATCCTTGGGAAGGCAAGTAAGTCGATCCTGCCTATCTGTGAAGGGAAAGGCCTAAGCACTGTCCACTATTGGGAAAATGAGCACTAGGGGAAAAAAACTTAGAAAACCAGGTAACAGAAAAAATTCTTACTGACTACGAGGTACATGGCAGTATCCTTGCTGCCCAGGGCCTTTCTTCTGGCTACCAGTTCAGACAGAAGCCCTGGCTCAGTCCCTGTCACTACCTGCCTCCTTTGCAGTTTAACCTCTGGTACTCCTTTTAAAAATTATGAACTTTAGAGCCCAAAGGAATGTTTGAAGCCAGTTGCCTCAATCGCTTCAATTTATAGCTCAAGAAAACTAAGGCCAGACTGGGGATGTGGCTCAGTGGTAGAGCACCTCCCTGGCATATGCAAAACATGCTGGAAAAAAAACAAAAACAAAACAAAACACTGAAAACCCAGGTTGATTTGGGAGAGCACACATGTAAGGCAGAGAAAAGAGAAACTGGAAGGTCAGTGAGGATCTGTGAGGATGTGCCCCATTTCAGAATGGAAGGCTCTTCTGTGTTTAGTTTTACTTTTCTCCATTTTCCAAATTTCCCATAGTTCTCCTCTAGATGCCACGTGGTTCCCAAAATGCCTAAGGACTCCTTAGCTTCAAGTCATCTGGAACTCCCCTAAAAAGTTCTTTTCTTCCCATTTATCTCAGGCTATGGAAAGAAGGCCAACACCATTAGCCCATGTCAACTGGAAAAACCCAACTCTCTATTGTATTGATCCAGTTGTAGCAAGTGCAAGCAGCCTTGTTGTGAGAGCTGTACAAACATAACTCATTTAACTCTCAAAACAATCCTATGAGGTAGGTAGTATCATGATTCCTCTTATAAAGATGAGGAAACCAAGGAATGGAGGAGTTACGGACATGACCCACAACTAGTAACCATTGCAGGGGATCAAGAAGTTCTACAATAACTAGTCTCTTGGCGATCTGTTTGTCTTTGGTGCCTAAACCACGTTGTTTTGGATGAGAAGTCACAAGTCAATTACTCGGGTCACACACAATTTTGAAAGTCCTGTACTCCAGGCAGTGGAGCTCTGGGCTGTTCAGAAGGAAACTGTCATTCTCCCACCTGCCAGTAGTTAACTGCCATCACTTCTCTGCGCTTCTAGCACCAGACTCCTCACTCCAACTTCTCATTTTACTTTGTTATCTCAAATCCATTGCATTGGGAAAACCAAACCAGTTACTCAAGAATCACATTCTGAATTAAAATGTTAAATCCTGCCTTTTAATATGATTATAATGTACTGATTAAATAAATAAATAGAAGGGAGATCAGTAGAGTAGAGCAAGCTGATGAGGGAGAAAGGGCAGGGAAAGGAGGGTAATAGGAATGAGGTTGATCAGATTATACTATGTGCATGTATGACTATGGAATAATGAATCCCAACAGTAAGCAAAATAGGATGTACCCACAAAAAATATGTAGTAAGTATAACGATCATCCCTCAAAAGGGCTTAAGCATTTGGCGATGTGCTCACTGCACAAGATTGAAGCAAGAGTCTCAACTAGGCCTGTCTGACTTCAAATCTTTTGTTCTCTGTACCACCTCCAAATGACCAGAAAAGTCCATTCTTATATCAATTCATTCATTAATGAAAAACGTAAGAGATTTGCACATTCAATTCATATTATATATCCAGCTCCTGGGTCTACATTATGTAAAAAACCAAACAGGAGTTTGCAGTTTTCCATAAAGCCTTATTTCTGAAGATGGAAAGCTTCCATTCATCTATTGATTCATGTACAGCCAGAGCAAACAGATATTGGGCCAGCCCTGTTCCAAGAGCTTTACAGACAACTCATTTAACTCTCAAAACAATCCTGTGAGGTAGGTACTCTCACGATTCCCCTTTGTTAAAAACTGTGTAGTCAGTCTCCTGGTCACTAGACAATGAAAACTGTTCTTTGCATGGTACAGTTCCTGATCCCACACCTGATGCTTCAGACTTGGTTGTCTGACTACAGTTTATGTGTGTGTGTATGTGTGTGTGTCTATATGATGTTACTGTTTGCTTAAATAAATTGATATCACTCAAAAAAAAAAAAAAAAAAAAACAACCTCCAAACCCCTCAAAATTGTATATTTTCTTAGTATATAGGATAACTATAGATAAGAAATATAAATCGTAATAAAATTAAATGAAAATATGGTGAAACACATACACACGCACGCATACGCACGCACGCTCACACATATGAATATCTATTTGCTTCATCCCTGACTTGTAGATCCATCTTTAAAATATAAGTTAAGAAATCACGACAGACCCCTTGGGAGTTCTGGGCACTCCACCATCAGGACAGGCCATGAACTGGAGCACAAGACCTTGGTGGCAACTGTACCAACTCACCAGGGAATTTTCCTAGTCTTCCAGGTGTTTGAGTTCTGGACAGTTGCCAGGCAAGGGTATGCAGGATAACTGAGGTATTCCCTGGCAGTCTTGTTTCATTCACCTGCCCACAGGCAGAAAGGACTGGGTCCTGCCTCTCTCTGCCAAAGAATAAGCCCAGAGTCATATCAAATCAGCATCCATGTGGTTTGTGGAAGGAAGCAAATTTAAAAAATTGACCCAAGGAATCTCTAGGCCCAGGAAGCATTTCTAGGTGGCTCAGGCCTAGTTTCCTCCCCGGAGGCACTCAGCATGAAACCAAAACTGAGCATACCTTCCTTCAGTTTTTGCATATCTTCCTCCATTTAAGGGACTCATCCTTAACTCCTGGTTGGAGGAAGTGGGTATCTGACCTGGCCCAGTCAGAACTGACCTGGTTCCTCTTTTGGTCCAAAGCAGATCCTTCTGGGACGGTGACATTAAACTACAAATGTGAAGCATTACTATACCATGTTGACTTGGGGGAAGAGAGAGTATGATAAATACAGAGCCCTGCACTGTAGGACCGGAGACCCATAGGTTTCCTAATTCATCTTTTGATAAACCACTACATGACCTTGAACACAACTGCTTCATCTCTCTCTGTCTCAGGTTCCTCACCTGTAAAACAGGACCATACCATCTGCCCTTTCTTCATCCATGAACTGCTGGATTAAATGAAATTGGCCTTTGGAAGTGCTATAAAACACTACCTATTCTAACAAGCCAGGACAAAGCCTCCCTTAGCCCTCCCAGGCAGGTGTGGCCCAAGTTGTTGAGAAGTTGAACCTATACTGACTGCTAAGCTATGACTCTGGGTTAATATTCACTTCAGAAGCACGAGCTAAAGGGGCTTAGATGGAAAACCATGACCAGGAAATAATAAGTCCTTTCTGGGGCTAGTAGGAATGAGGTACCCTCCTTTATCTTGGCTCTTGCCCCCATTTTATGACCACCATTTATATTTTGGAGTTAGAACACTATTGAGGCACCCTCTGAGTTACCACCAGCCCAGCAGAGCTGAACACCATACTTTCTCCCTGGGTCACAGACCTCTGCAACCAAGAATACCTGAACCCCTCCCTGCAAAAGCTGACTGATGGTCTTCCTCCTCATTTTTTTTTCTTTCCCCAGTAGAAATGTCCTGAATTTTGGGTTGTTTTTGATGTTTTAGATGAACATTTTCTTTCTTAAGTAGCAGACAGTCATCACATTTTCCAGACAGAAAAATAGAAAAGTAAGTCACTTTGCCCAGAGTTTGCTGCTTTTTAGTTTCAGCAATGAGGTTTGTCTCAATGACTCAAGACCAAACATACTTCCAACCCTCAGAATCTAGAATTAGCAGAAACTGGGAGGTCCCCAGCTGGATACCTCACTCAACCAAACCTGGTTAAATTAGTAAATGCTTGCCTGCTGCTGCCTCCCCATCTGTGAACTTTGGGTTATTGGAGAAACCAAAAGAGGTGAGGTTTTGGAAACTACATCATCTCAAGGGATGAAATATAACTTCTATGAGTCACCAAAAGGATGCAAAATTAAGTGAAGATGCATCTTTGTTCCAACCCACTAGAACACACACCTTCTCACAAAGAAAGTCATTTGAAACTCACCATACTCTTCAGTTGTCCTGACTGGGTGGGCAGCAACTAGTCCCAACTTCCCAGGGAGGCATGCTTCTGGGCAAGAGCCCCACACAGCTCCAGTCCTGTTATTCTAGGGTCCACTGACAACTCTTCAGAAAACTGCCGGCTTCCTTCACAGCCCAAGGGCTTAATCAGAGAAGGCCCTAAAGAGCATGTAGGATGGCCCAACAGGCACTTTACCCATAGCTCCCAGAAGCTTTTGGGCACTTTGGGGACAATATGGGGTGAAGATATTTGTCGTGGTGGAAACACTTTTTAACCAGTGAGGGCAGTCTGAGTGTAAGGAGTGAAGTACAGATGAAATGGCATACTCTTCCCTAACACATACACTCATCTAATGGTGATACTGGCTCTTGATAAAAGATGTGTTCCTGCTCCTTGATATTGGCCGGTGTATTCCAGCTGTTTTGCACAGGTGTGGTGAGCATGCAAAGGCTCCTCACACTATATATATATATATATAAAAGTTATAGGCCACCAACAGCCAATTAACTTAGAATATATGTGTACGTGTACCATCTGGATGGAGACACCCACTTCGCCTCTGGCTAAATGAGCAGTATTACCTGACCAGGTCAAGGAAAGAGTCCACCGTCTCTTTGGGGACCGGAGGAGGCCCAGCGTCTTCCAATCCCAGGTCACTGGACTGAAGGGTCTGCGCGCCGGATCCTGGCTTGATGATGAACGCCAAAGCGACAGCAAGCGCTGAGGCACTAAGCGTTGTGAGGCCAAAGTAGGCAACAGCTATGCCGCCCAGACGCCCCAGGGAGCTGGCGTCCAGAGAAGCAGCGCCGGACACCAGGCTGCAGACCACCAGCGGCAGGATGATCATGCGCAGCATGCGGAGCAGCATGTCTCCCGGGAAGGCCAGGTAGGTGATCTGTGTGCGGGTGAGATTTAACTCGCGTAGCGCAGCACCCAGGCCGGCGCCCGCCACCACCCCCGACACTGTCAGCAACACTTGCGCGTGGCGCCGCAGGAAGCCAGAACAACGCCGCGAGCGTCCCACCGCGGTAACGGGTGCGCCAGGCCCCGCTGCAGGCCCTGTCTGGGCGCCGTCGAGGTAGCCGTTAGTCTCGCTGCTTTTCTCCATGGCGCGGCCGTGTGCTCCAAGCTGGAGGAGACAGGCTCCCAAATGAATGGATCGGGCGGAGCTAGAGGCGTCTGCCAGCTACACCGGGCAGAGTCAGGAAGGCGGCCCCAGGGTCTTCGGTCTCGGCGGAGTAGCAGGTGCGGGAAGGGCGAACAGAGGCGTGGGTTGCGGGTTGCAGTCCCGAACAGAGCGGACCGCACCGCGCCCAGCCTTTTCACAGCAGCCACGAGCTGGAGATGATGCAACGCTGGTGCTGAGCGGGAGGACGCAGACGGAGGAGGGAGTGAGCGGGGAGTGGCCAGAGCCCGCCCCGCCCCGCCCTCTGCCCCGCCCCTCGCGGATACGGCCAATCGGAACCCGGGCGCCGCCGCCGCCGCCAGCTCTTGGCCACCTTAGGGTTGTCGCGCGCGGGGTTGAAGAATCGGCTGGGCCCCCGCGCGGGCCAATCCTGGATTCCGCCGCTGCCTCCCGGCCCAGCTAACGGAAGCTGGTCCCGGACAAGCGCGGGAGGCGCGGCCTGGGGGATGGCCCGGGCTCGTTGGCACCCGCCGGGCCGCTCCCGGCCAGCCGGGGTCTGGACCCTCGGGATCAGAGGGCCAGGAGAACATGGAACGTCGCAGCGTTCTTTAACCAGGGGATGGGGGTGGGGAAGGCTTCTTGTCAGGGTCGAGAGCGCTCGTCTGCGTCCTCCGAGCGGGGACGTGAGCGCAGAAGAGGATCCAGGGCGATCATTCCACTGCCTCCTCTTCTGGCGTAAAATCTTTTTTTTTTTTTTTCTTGAGTCTTGTGGGGTTTGGGGCGGTAAAACACATTATGGTGCCCAGCACAGTCCCCCGCCCAGAGACTAAAGAGGGGTGGGTGGGTGGATGGGTGCGTGGATGGATGAAAGAAGCCTTACCACTTGCTCACTAAGGGCTCTAGCCAAGCTTTACCCATAAATGAAAGGGTACTTGCGGTGGCGCCAAATCGAGCGCCCGGGGCGCCTGGCTGTGTGACTTGGGACCGCCTGGAGGTCCCCTGAATTGCTCGGCCGTTTTCTGCGGTATGCGGGCTGAAGGCGTAAAATTCTTCTAGAAGAAAGAGCTCTCGCGCCACCACTTGTGCGTTTCTGCCACGTAACCGCAGCTGAAACACCAGCCCCTTTAACCTCTTCATCCCGGAGCCCGCCGTGGCGCCTAAGCATTGCAGACAGCAGTTTGGCCATCCTGAAATGTGGTTCCTTATTGCTCACGTCCAGTTGATTTCCTTTTTATTTGATCCTTTATTTAACATCTGCTGTGGCCACCGCAGATATAAGGGAAATCTCTGCAGAGTCTGTTTACTGTGCTACGTTTTTATTTATATTTTCTCATTCTACTTTTGAAAAGAGTTATTCTTTTATGATGTCTGTGAAAGTTTTAATATGTACCTCACTTGGGGAGGAAGGCTACTTACTCTCGATTTCTTGTGGAAAAGGAGTCATCTTAAAACATATCATGACATACTTGTGCAAATTAAGATGACTTCATAAGGAACTTTTGGAACTGTCCAAATTTTGGGACAGTTCCTGGTTCATTACTCGAAGCCGGTAAGCTGTTGGCTAGAACTAGTAGGGGGTTTTGGTGGAAGGGAAGGGATGCGTCTGGTAAAGAGCCTACATATTTTTTATCTGGTTTACCAGAACCAATTTATTTTTCTGTGCCCTGAAAAAAGAGTAATTTCTACAGACACCCGCTTTATTTTGCCCATCATCTTCTTCCTTTGACTACCCCCTTTATGCAAAAGTTCTCAAATTGTGCTCTAGAAATAACTTTCCAACTGCCTATTGTAACATCTCCACCTGGATATCCTATGTATCTCAACTGAACACACTCAAAACCAAATTGATGGTTGCTTTCCTCAACCCTGCTTACTAATCTGATTTCCCTGTTTAGGTTACCAGTATCATTGATGACCCAGTCACCTGTGTGTGAAATTTCAAAGACCTTTGATTTTCCCCCTCTGGTGTCTTCTCTCCTCTCATCTGTTGCCAAGTCCCACAGACATTCCTTTCGCAATATTTATCACATTCCTCCCTCCCATCCATTCCCTTTACTATCATACTGGCTTAGTTCTTACTTCCTCACTTCTTATCTAGGCTATTGAGTTCTTCTAATCAGCCTTCCTTCCTCCAATGTTTCTCTTGTTTCAGCCATTCTGTAATTTGCCTTGCCCAAGGGTAATCTTCTAGGGGAAAAAAAAAAATGGACCAATGAGGGCATTCATTCTCCCTTTAAGAACACCTGTAATCCCAGCTACTCAGGAGGCTGAGGCAGGAGGATTCCGAGTTCCAGGCCAGCCAGGGCAACTTATCGAGACACTGTCTCAAAATAAAAATAAATAAATAAAAGCAGGGTATGTAGCCCAGTGGCAGAGCACTTGCCTAGAACCTAGAATGTGTGAGGCCATGTGTTCTATTCCCCAAAAACCAAGGTAGTGGGGAGGCGTGGTGACATGATACTTCCTAAAACTTGTACACATTATTTCTCTCATATTTCTTAATGAAAATTTAATAAAAATGACCATACCTAGCTGCAAGAGAAGATAGGAGATGTAATTTGCATAGGCTTGCACTCAGTTAAAAGATGGGCTGATGTTATTGAAGAAGCATAAAAGAATGCTACTGGAGGGCGGGAGCTGTAGCTCAGTGGCAGAGTGCTTGCCTAGCATGTGTGAGGCACTGGATTCGATCATCAGTACCACATAAAAATAAATAAAATAAGTGTATCCTGTCCATGTAAAACTACAAAAAAAAAAAAAAAAAGAACAATACTGGAGGACAACTCCTTCCTATCACTTTTTGTTCAAAAGCTTTTATTGGCTCCCAAATAATTAAGAATGTGTTCTGGCCACAGTGGATTACCTCTGTAATCTCAGTAATGCGGGAGGCTGAGACAGGAGGGTTCCAAGTTAAAAGCCAGCCTCAGCAACTTACTGAGAACTTGTCTCAATAAAAAAAAGAAAGAAAGAGGGGTGAGGATGTGGCTCTGTGATTAAGTGCCCCTGGGTTCAATCCCTAGTACCAAAAAAAAAAAAAAAAAGAAGAAGAAGAAGAATGTGTTCCTCACCCTGTCATTCAAGCATTCAAGGTCTGCCATGATCTGGCTTCAGCTTACTGTCTAGACCTGTGTCCTCTACTTGTGAAACAAAAATAGGATTGTGTGCTGCTCCCACATTTTGGGGGAGGGGCACTTTCTTACCAGTCCCAGTTCAAACACAATATCCTTCCCATAGACTTTCTGATTTCCCCTTTCTTCAGCTCTGCTTGCTGCCTATATATATATATATATATATATATATATATATTGTACTTGGGATTGAACCCAAGGGCGCTTAACCACTGAACCACATCCCCAGCCCTTTTATGTATATTATTAGAGACAGGTTCTCACTGAATTGTTTAATGCCTCACTAAATTGCTGAGGCTGGCTTTGGACTTGTGAACCTCCTGCCTCATCCTTCCTAGCCACTGTGATTACAGGCATGTGCTACCATGCTCAGCTCCATAATTTTGTGTGTGTCAGCATAAAACAACCACCATCCCTAAATAGAATGACATAAAATGACAATCCTTTTCTTATGCTCCTGACTTTGTAGGCCAGAAATTCAACAGGGCATGGCAGTGGATCTCATCTCTGCTCCCTGATGACTGAAACCTCAGCTGGGGTGCTTAATGGCTGGAGATAGCTGGGAACACATTAAGAATGTGTTCTGGGCACAGTGGATTACCTCTGTAATCTCAGTAATGCGGGAGGCTGAGACAGGAGGGTTCCAAGTTCTGGTTATCCACTAGGATCTTTGGTTCTTTCCCATTGTCACATCTACTGAAGCTGGAATCTTCAAGATGGCTCTTGCATTTACTCAAATGGCACCTGGGCTAGCTGTGGCTAGCTAGGCATTTTTCTCTGTCAGTGTGGCTAGCTTGGGCTTCCTTGTGGTCTGGTCATCTTAGACAGTCAAACCTGAGTAGTTGGCCTCTCTCAGAACGAGTAGTCTAAGAAACTAGGTAGAATCTGCAAGACTTTTGACCTAGCCACAGAGTCCTAGAATATCATTTCTTTCCCATTCTGTTGTCAAGCAAGTCACTAAAGCCTCTAAGAAGGAGAATTAAACACCACTCTAGGGGCAGAGTAGCAAAACATTTTCAGCCATCTTTGATCCCCAGTAACATTCCTACTAAAGTGTTTATATTTTGTAGGCCAGAGTAACATATATAAATCAATATTTCCAAAAGTTTGTCAGCTCTGGAATCTCTTTGGACAAGACTATTGGAAAGTTCATTTGGCAGTCTTTTCAATTAATGATGCTCGGGAAATTACATATCCACTTGCAGAAGAATGAAATCACCCATGCCCCAGACCATATACAGAAATCTATTCAACCTGTAATCCCAGCGGCTCAGGAACCTGAGGCAGGAGGATCGCAAGTTCAAAGCCAGCCTCAGCAACATTGAGGCGCTAAGCAATTCAGTGAGACCCTGTCTCTAAATAAAATACAAAATAGGGACAGGGATGTGGCTCAGTGTTTGAGTGCCCCTGAGTTCAATCCCCAGTACCCACAAAAGAAAAAGAAAGAAAGAAACTGCTCAAAATGGATTAATGATTTAAATGCAAAACCTGGAACCACAGAACTACTAGAAAAAAAAATGGGGGAGCCAGGCTCAATGATGCACACCTGTAATCTCAGTGACTTGTGAGACTGAGGCAGGAGGATCATGAGTTCAAAGCCAGCCTCAGCACTTTGGCAAGAAGGCTCTGAGCAACTCAGGGAGATGCTGTCTCTAATAAAATATAAAAAAGGGTTGGGGATGTGGTTCAGCTGTTAAGTGACCATGAGTTCAATCCCCAATGCAAAAGGAAAAAAAAAAAAAAAAAGAAAATATGCTGGAAAGCTGAGTGACATTGGTCTGGGTAATGATTTTTGAATATGATTCCAAAAACACTGTCAACAAAAACAAATGAGATTTCTTTTAGACCAAAAAGCTTCTACATATCAAAGGAAACAATCAACTGAGTGAAGAAACTAACCTAGAGAATGGGAGGGTATATTTTCAAACTATAATACGATAAGAGGTTAATTTCCAAAATACATAAAAAATTTGAACAACTCAAGAGGAAGTCAAAAGTATAACTAAAAAATGGGCAAAGGGTGGGGGGGCTGGGGACATAGCTCCATTGGTAG